TTTTCGACATAACAAGGCTATACTGTAATTACTCACTAATAATTTAGCGTTAGTATCGCAATTTTGAGCAACTTAGGCGGCTGCTAAGTATGGCGGGACGTTAGCTAGGCAATGAGTGTTCACAGCCACAGTCTATTTCACTGGGGACCCTTAACGGAATTGAACTCTGCGAACCTACGAAATGTCGCAAGGGTTCTGCGCACTTTCTGGCTCTCTTGGTGAGGCTACGGTCAGCCATGCCCCGCTCTTCCAGTGAGTGTCAGATTTGCGCCAAGCGTTTTTGGGTGGTGCAGCTTCTTCTGCATCTTAGGGTTTAGTAAAAAAAAAAGCAGGGTTTTATACCAGGTCGTACAGAATAGGCAGAAGATAAGGGATATCAAGACTGAAGGGTCGTCGATGAAAAAGGGCACAGCCTAGTCAATTCTAATGAAGCAAATAAAGGATCACGATATCTTGCTCGCTTCTTTTCTTCTCCCATGCTCCTCATTCTCTCATCCCTGGCGGGAAAACCTCACCTCTAGATAGGCCCTAATGACCGAGAATCCCCCGCCATTTTTCTAGTATCGTATCATACCTCAATCATCTAACGTAAATCACGTGGTAATGACACAATACCGGGATGTGACATTGTCTCAAATTGCGCAATTGCCGAAGGGCCCATGCTGAATACCTAGAAGAAAATAATGAAATCGTGAACTACAGGACTCAAGAAACATGCAAGGAGAGCGTAGAAGGAACACAATGAATACTAGAGTAAGAGACTTAATGCTAGGTTAGTTAAGAATAAGATATGAGTAGGAAGAGGGGGCATACAATATTAAGGAGCATACGGAAGGCTATTGAGGTGGGGGAGGGCAGGAGTGAAGAGCCATATGAAGTGGCCGATCAGGAAGAAGCTGTGAGGTGTGTTTGGTCCGAGGGCCGGAATTGTCAGGATGTTTTTGCTTCGTGGAGAGTTTTGAGCGAGATGGTAAACCCCATTCTGAATCGCTGATTTCCTCAACCTCACTACCAGAGCAAGAATTCTGCATAGTGTCTGACTCCTTTGAAGTACCGTCTACTCTTCAGGCTCCAGGAATAGGAATAATCTTGGGGGTCGTTCGCTGTACTATCGGGTGTGATGCTGCTGGTTTGGCTCCCAGTAGAGATGTCTTCCTAGAGTCTCTGGGGAATCTGGGAGTAGCCTTTCTAGCCAATGCCACCACAGCCTTTTTCTCATCCTTTTTCAAGCGGGCATCCCTCAGTTTGATGAGGGCTGTCCCATCAAGCATGTGTGCTTCACTAAGCTTTCTTTTATTTGTTGTATTGTGAATAAGATTCACATTCTGTAGCTTATGGGGAAGCTCCTGCCAGATCTCCTTTTCAGCAATTTCCTCTTCCAGCTGATGCCTGAGGTTCGTCATGACAGATTTTACTCTATCAATTGTAGAATGGGAGGCAGATGGAGAGGAGAGTGTATCAACTAGCTTCGTAGCTGAAAGGACTCTTTGGCAGATTTCATGGCTGGATTTAGGAATAAGCATGGTTCTTAAAGTGTCACAGCGCTTTGTTGTGGAAGGGGTAATTTTTCCAAAGACAGGTCGAGCATTTAACGGCCAAATGCCCGTACTGATATAGGATTGTAGAATATTGTGAGTAGAGAAGGTTTGGTTGCGCGCAGCAGTTAGGAAGGGAAGAAAGACTGACTTTTTGATCCCAAGAATATTTTTTCTGGACCGGACATAATTGTCGACCTCAATTCCATAATAGTGTTGATAAGGACTAAAAAGTCCCACATCTAGAGGCTGTAGAAGGTGGGTTGAATGAGAGGAAAGGCATAAGAGTAGAATATTATGAGAGAGACAGTAGGAAACAAACTGATAGGTAACATGAGAACCATGGCCATCAAAGACAAGGAGACGTGGCTTGCCCCCACAAAATAACCTAATTTCAGGTTCAAATACCCGCTCCAACCACTCCAAAGCAAGCTTATTATCAGTCCAGCCTTTAGCAGAATAGCTGAACTGATAGTGCTTATTTTATTCCGACAGATTGCTATACCATCTGTAACGTGTTCGCAAGGTGCTAATCACATTATCGGTAATTGATACGATAGTTGGCAGGTGGCCTGCTCTTCCAGAGAGGAGGTGAGAGCTGAGAACTAAAGGAGGCTTCGAGGGTGTACTGGGGAACAAAGAAGTAACCGTTCAACCAAGTATATTGAAATACTGTCTGTCGAAGTCTGCCCTTTCTATCATAGAAACAGGCGGTCTTTAAATACACAAATCTGTTCATGTTTTAACATGAACGAAACTAATCAAAGGTATCAAACGATACTTAAAACAAAACATAAAACAAAACCAAGTATCAAACGATACTTAAAACTAACCAAGTATCAAAGCGATACTTAAAACAAAACATAAAACAAAACCAAGTATCAAACGATACTTAAAACTAACCAAGTATCAAAGCGATACTTAAAACAAAACATAAAACAAAACCAATTACCAAGTACCCGTACCGGTTACACCATCCTAGATAATGACCTGCTCCTTTATTAATAATCAAAGAAGACAAGACACTACCATTCCCACAGATTGTTTCGATAATGGTAATGAGTTCCTGCTTTCCGTCGTGTGTTACCCGTGGATTCCGACGTCCCCGGTGGCATATTACCTTTGCTCTTGCTACTAAACCCATCAGAAAGCCCTTCTCATCCATGTTGAATATCTGGTGAGCCTTCAATACATGCTGACGGATAACTGACGAGAGCTTTGCAAAGTAGTCCTGAATCAAGCGAGGATCCTTGGCATAGGCTCTCTGTCGCTCTAGCCGTGTACTGAGCTTTACAGCTAAATTAGGATGTCGCTTGAGAAATCTGGACATCCAGTTCTTCCCAAATGGTTCAGACTCTTTCTTTAACCACATCCGCTCTAAATACAGCCCCATATCCTGGACCATGCTCAACTTAGGAGAAAACCCACGATCATCCTGATCAAAGCACCACTTAACTACTGCTTTCTCCTCCGGTTCAGTTAGCCTCTGCTGCCCTTCATGTGCCATACTACTGCTAACAGCACTCCCAGACACCCGGCGATATAGTGTTCGCTTATCAACATCAAATGCCTCACTCGCAGATGGAACATTCTTTTCCTGTCCCTGCTGGACAGCTCTAACTGCCATTTGCATGCGCTCTTCATACTTAGGATCTTGGCTTCGTCATGATGGCATTTTGGTTGTTGTCATGATAATCTCTACTCACTAATGAGCAGGGTAATCACCACTCTCATGTCTCACAATGGGCAATTCCGGCTTGTGTCACTTCCCGGTTTTGTGTCACTTCCACGTGATTTACGTTATATGCAGTCTCGGTGAACGGTGTTTTCCCCGAAGCCTGTGGTTTACCTTATCTGTTATTTTTCTAACCTACTCTTCTGGGTGTGTCGTGGTTTTGGTGAAGTGGTTCCCTTAGCATATCCGATGGCAGATTTAGCGAGTTTTTACGGTACCTCGCTGTCCCATACCGTAAGAACTGGAATAATTGAGAAATCTCGTTAGGGCGTCGAAGTTGCCTCTCGCAGCAAGGTCTGTTATATTTCCCTTTTTATATGTCTCAACTGGGGGCTTTCTTTTCTCTCCTTATTCCAAGGGGGAAATAGACGTTCTAGCGCCATTCTTAATTATTTCAGTCGGTAGCACTTTCCGATGAGGCTGTGAGATAGGCCGGATTGGGCTAGATTACCCTGCTGTGATAACGATTAGTCTAAGGCCGTACCCGAGTATGCAGGTCCGGTGGCGCCCTGCTTCAGATACCGAATAAATATTATTGAATACGGGTCCCAAATTTCCTCCTCAAAAACCTGGACCTGACCTGTCGTCCCGGATCACCTGCGCCCCAGTCATAGTCTTTGAATCTCGGCCACCCAGGATAGCGGGGTGCGACTGTACGACTGCTCGTACATCCCCTTCTACTGCCGACACGCTCTGCAAATACCCAGGATCCCTGGCAAGCTCTACTAACACCGGTATCGTTCTGTCTAACGATTTCCCGAACAGAACCCCCAAGCATTACTCTACTTCTAGGCTGGAACTCGTATCCGCAGCTATGGCCCAAGCCTATTACCATAGTACGAGTATTCTCAATTTTGTTGACCTGGAACGAAGCCTGATGGCGGGCGTGCAGGAATAGTGGATTCCGAGAGTTCCTTTGTGCCGGTAGATGTGTAATTCGGGATCCGATCGGGGATCGGGGGGCTTGGAATTGGGTCTTCGGACTACTTCGATAAAGCCACATCCTAAGGTGCCCCAGCCACTCGTGCGCGATATCACAGGTAAGTGCATTTCTCGCTACCAGTAAACATCAACCTCCGGCTTTAATTCGTTGAAACAATTTTAATTTCCTGCTGTGCTTGATTGACTGCTTACGCTCCTCGAATTTAAATCGCCCTAGCAAGTCTCCAGGGTACTGTACCGTAGTAGGCTACCGTATTGGTTGTTACACACTAGTCCTTTTTCTGATTGGTACCACCAAGTCGCAAGGAGTTAGGCGCAATGTTACTGTACCAATACCAGCAGGATTGCTGCAGGTACGATACGAGGTATGACAAGCATGAACATAAGGGGAATACGACGTCGGATCGCCAGCCCAAGAGGCTCCGCTCATCGGTATCCTCCCTAAGAACTAGGAACTGTCGCCTTCTGCATGAGTTCGTGATGCGAAACCTATTACTGCAGTACCAGTAGATGCTCACTCATGTCACGCAGGTATTGATCGAGACCCATTCTCGTATCCGGGACCCAAAAACGTATTGTTTCTCCACGATTATGCTTGCACGGGTCGGTCCCCAACTTGGCGAGCATTGGGGTATTTATTGGACCTCAGTTCCCCCTTGGGATCCACCACCATTAGGCTATTCCACTCACGAAACTCCTTTCATTATATCTTCATCTGGCTCTCCAACCATAGTCTCTCTTTGCCAGGATATATTCTCGCTCGTTCCGGCTATTAGAATATTGGAAAAATGCAGTTCAAATCCTTTAGCTATCTTTTCCTCCTCACTGCTCTTCCCTCCGCACTTGCACAGAGTTTCGGGACATGTACGGCTACGAACCAGCTCGCTGGAGAATGTATAAAAACCTCCACCTGCAGTGATCAAGGCGGAGTTTCAGACCCAGCAAACCTCTGCCCTGGTGACGATACCATCCAGGTAATTTGACTTCCTGGAATGGTGGCCAGAGACCTCTACCGCAATGTAACTAACACTTAACAGTGCTGTACTTACGGTACCTGCAAGAACGGCGCTGGTGTAGCGGGTACTTGTCAGCCAACCTCGACTTGCAAGGGTACACCAGACCCAGGCAACCACTGCCCCGGCCCGCAAAACATCCAATGTTGCACCGGGAATGGCCCCAACCCACCGAGCGATGGCGGCAATTTGCCTGGACTTGACGCCACGCAATCCCGCCATGCCCGTACCATCATTGCAGTGGCCCGGGAGTATGGCGTCGGCAATCGCGGCTGCCAAGTTTCCATCGTGACAGCAATGCAAGAATCCAGGATCAGGGTCCTGGCCAACCCCTCCGTCCCCGATTCAAACAAGTACCCCCATGACGGCACCGGCAGTGACCACGATTCTGTCGGGATCTTTCAGCAGAGACCACAATTCTGGGGTACTGTGAAGGATTGTATGGACCCCAAAACAAGCGCTGGCAAGTTCTTCACTGCATTGAAGAAGGTCAACGGCTGGGAGAGGATGGAGATTGGAAGGGCAGCGCAGAGTGTGCAGAGGTCCGCCTTCCCTGACGCCTACACCAAGCATACTCCGCTTGCGAAAGGTGTTTGCGAAGCCGGGGGTATTTGATCGTCATCTAGACTAGCGTTTTCTCCTCCCTTTAATTTCCTATTTTCGAAGAGCGAGCTCTGGAGCCAATAAATAAGGATATTGTTTTAGTCTATGAATAGAGTTATTGCAACATGACCCGAATCCTAGTGATATCTGTAGTGATTAGCCTCGAGGGCGTGCGCTATTGTTATTACACGTGTTTGAATTGCCCTTGGGTTTATTGAATACATTTCTAGGGTTCGATTCAGTAGAGGAGTCACGAGGGCCGGGAATAAAATAATGGGATAGTGCCTCGTGCCTAAGACGTATAGCATAGTACAGTACACTGGGCGCCACGCAACACGTACTACTCAACCCCACGGGGATAAATGACTACTCCCAAAAGAATAATTTGGAGATCCTGTATTTAGCTCATTGGAATATACTGGAAGTAGTAAGTCGTTTTAAGGGGTTTTCAATGGCAATGGAGTATCTATACTCGAGTACTCACGGCAGGGGTAGGCAAAAGTCCGGCCCACCCCCACTTCAAATATGTGTAGACTAGAAAGTTTTTTGGTGGCTAGCAGAGGTCGGGCGCACTTCCAAGTGAAGAAGCGGTTTGTGTCACCGCGTCCGGAGTACACTTGCACCGATGTACTGTACTGTACTCGAGCACTCGGCGGTGCTACATGAAATATCCTTTGACTGGAAATCTGTCGAACCTCCCACACCTGTACCACCAATTTTGACCAAATGATCAACATCAACACTCTCATTTAGTTGGACTTTTTTTCTTCTTCCCTGCCTGACCTTCGTGCAGTGCCTCCGAGCAGCTGTCCCGTCCCTTCCATTCCCTAACCTAGCCGTACCGCACTATACCTGTATCATACTTCCTCTATCGCATCGCGTCCGTCAGCCAGCATGAAAGCCCCAGATTCTGTCCCCCTCGTCCGATACTACAATGCCCTTCTGCCTTGCACTATGAGAGCGCACCCCCAAAGAGCGATCTTGGGCTCACGGTAGAATTCTCACGTCGAGTGGGTATAGCACAAAGTCAATAACATGCGCATGATTTGGAATAAACGGCTTCGGTGCATAGGATATCGCCTTTTGCAGAGTATTTCACGTACGAGCACTGTTCTACCTGAGCTCAAATTTGGCCACAGTGCAGTATATGCCAAGGTCACGGCAACACTGCACATCACAAGAGTACATAGGGTGTGAGCATAAATGAGGCGAACTCTGCTGTGATTGGAGGATCATTATAGGGGGAACTGGAATAGCTCCAATTCCAATTGGCTGCAAGTTGCTGCCAAGACACTGGAAGTGGAGGGGGAAAAAAGTGAGGCGAAAAGTATCTCCCATATCTGTACAATATGAAATATACTTTGAACTTTAGAAATTAAAAACAATATTTACAGGTATGTATATTGACAATCTCCAGTAGTCCTCCACTATTCCTAGACATCTTCTACGGCCCCCCGCCATCACTGGCTATACCCTGCCATTCCCAGCAATACCCTACTGTCTCCGGCTATCTCCCTGCCATCTTCAGCTGTCCCGTACCATTCCTGACCATCCTTAATCACTCTCAGCTGTTCTCCACCACCACCGGCTATCTCTTACGATTCCCTACTGTTCCGTCCAGTCTGGGCTCTTACCAATCCTCTCACCCACCCCACTGTGTCCTGTGACAGCTAGGAACTATGCCTCATGGCCACTGTAATTGGTTTCAGTAACTCTGCCAATAAAATTATCAGCTTGCTCATAATAAAGAAATCTTATGTATCAATAGACTAACCTGGTAATCATGATATACTAGTAAGGTGTAGCTTCTCCATTATCTTCAATAACATCTTGAAGCCTTCAAGGCATACTGTCAATCAGAATAGAGAGGCACTCAGAAGTAATACTTCGCCATGCAGTCTTAATCATGATGGCTAAAGTATTGGGATCATGTAACAGAGACTCCCTCTGGGAAGATGGATCCCAAGGTTGCGACCGCACCGAAATGAATTCTTCTTCAAAAGTGAACAAATATAATAAATGTCAAAAGTCTCAACATTAGAGTTTGAAGAAACAAAACGGTAAAACTTAATATCATTAAGCCACAGCTTTTACTCAATTAAGTCCTGATTTCGAGAAGTAGTTGATTGCCAGAGTAGAGGAGAACTCGCATATACTTAAGTAGATTTCATATACTGCTAGTTGCTCCCCATCACTACTCTGTATTTGTGAGTACCCAACTCCCTTAGGCTGACTAGCTAACCTCTATGGGTGGGACCAAAGATCCCCCGTAGTAAACTAGACTACTCTTGTGGTTTGCTAACATCCACCCGATAGAAGTATTTTAGCCGCTGCATTTACAATGCAACTGTAGGAGTAAAAACCCTTCATATTATAGACATATCAGTGGCAAGCTGCTATGCCCGAGTAGATGTAATACCAACTATGGAACTCTCTACCCATATACACTTAGTCTTCTACAAGCATCCGCAGCCCCTGAACATCTATCCGATTTTACTCTATTCTATATCATTTCGGATGATAGCCACGTAGCTCCCCCGATAGACCCTTTCAGATGTTGACTACTAATAGGCGCTACCTACAGTCAACTCTCCTAGCAACCGGTCTTATCATGATCTTAGACTAGTATCTCAGAGTCCCTAACAATTCTCAAATACTATTACACTTTTAGGGTAATGGACTTCGGTTATCTTGCCTACTAGCCTTCGGTAACCTCACATACTACCTTAGACTTCAAAGTAGTATTACTCCGTCAGTTCTGGTCTTTCTTACATGAAACCACCTGGAGACCATTATCCAGATTTACCCCTACCCCCTCATATATCCTGCGAACAGCTTCCTGTTGGACGGACGGCGGGAACGTATACGGTGTTACAGGAGTATCTCTATTTGAAGACATTTACTAAGCTTATAGCAACTCTCCAAACTGTAGCCCATGATACCAGAGACTTATAAAGGGGCCGGAGGGAAGTGTTAGCCACCACATCTCCACGTTACAGCTTGTTAGAAGCTCAACTGGTTGTGCGGGAGTGATTCGCACAACCTGAGATTTGAACACTGTAACCGGTATGGGTACTCGGTTATTGGTTTTGTTTTATGTTTTGTTTTAAGTATCTCTTTGATACTTGGTTTGTTTTAAGTATCGTTTGATACTTGGTTTTGTTTTATGTTTTGTTTTAAGTATCTCTTTGATACTTGGTTTTGTTTTATGTTTTGTTTTAAGTATCTCTTTGATACTTGGTTTGTTTTAAGTATCGTTTGATACTTGGTTTTGTTTTATGTTTTGTTTTAAGTATCGCTTTGATACTTGGTTTGTTTTAAGTATCGTTTGATACTTGGTTTTGTTTTATGTTTTGTTTTTAAGTATCGTTTTGATACTTGGTTTTGTTTTTAAGTATCGTTTGATACTTGGTTTTGTTTTAAGTTCTGTTTTAAGTATCGCTTTGATACTTAAAGAGTTTTACCAAAGAGTATCAATTGATACCCTTGATTAGTTTCGTTCATGCTAGACATGAACAGATTTGTGTATTTAAAGACCGCCTGTTTCTACGATAGAAAAGGCAGACTTCGACAGACAGTATTTCAATATACTTGGTTGAACGGTTACTTCTTTGTTCCTCAGTACGCCCTCGAAGCCTCCTTTAGTTCTCAGCTCTCGCCTCCTCTCTGGAAGAGCAGGCCACCTGCCAACTATCGTATCCATTACCGATATCGTGATTAGCACCTTGCGAACACGTTACAGTATTGACTTCTTAGATAGCATAATTGTCGTGATAGATGCAGTGATGGATGTGGTGTTGGATTTTGGTAGCAAAATTCGTCATATCCCACAGGCCCTGTGGTATTATTCATCACGCTAACTAATTCTATGTGACTAAAGTAGTAACCCAATCGCACCCTCCTTCACCTCCCTTACCCTCAACCCCCAGTACAACCTACTTAAATGTAGCCACTGCCAGCCGAATCCTACAATGTCTTCCCCAGTATAGTGTCTCACATTATCTGTGCTAGGGTCATTTTTCAAAAAGTAATCCCTAACAAGTTATGCGATACCGGACATCTGAAATTAACCTCCACCCACCACCTAATTCCTGCAATGAATGGGAGTCCCCGACAGCAACAAAGGTCCTGGGAGAAACACTTTATGTGGAACTGCTCAGAATTGAATCTTCCCCAATTCAGTAAAGTTAACTTTCTGATAAAGTGAATATGGGTTGATGAAAATATTTGTATCAATTGTACTAACTATTGTGATAACGAAGTAACAATGATAACTACAATAAAATCTGAAGACTTAAAGATTAATCCAAGCTTGCACATACTCTCTAAGAACAGGGCTGGACCTGCCCTTTATATACCCCTTTATTATTATACAAGCACTGCTCTATACCAAGGAAATCTCTAGAAGATGCTAGAATACAATAGCATATATACTTGGTCATGTAACTATGTTACATGATCAACACACTCCCATTACCAGATAGGAAAGGAATAGCCTAATTTCCAACACTTCTCCTACGGTTCCATTCTTAACCTAACAAGAAAACTTACAAATAATACTCTAACCAATTCTTTTGTTCATATATCCACTAAGTTGTTCTCCGTATCAACTCTTTTTACCTCAATTTCTCAATTTTCCGTCAACTCTTTCGTGTTGTGATGTTGTACATCGATATGCTTTGTTTGATCGAATATGCCAGTATTTTTGATCAACTTTATAATGGCTGTATTCTTGCAATGGATAGTCAGTATAGTGTTGATCCTCATATGTAATATCTCTCTTCTTAACCATATAATTTGTCTTGCTGCAAAGGCGAGTGCAACTTACTTGCCTTCCATAGTGGAGGTGGCAATGGGTTTATATTTCTTTAAACGCCAGATTACTGTATGACCATATGTTTGAACGATTAATCTGGTAAACAATTTTTTGCACTCAAGGTTTGAGGCAAATGACACATTACAACATAGCTGAATTGGTATATTGACCATATCGTACAGATATTGCAGACCTT